TTGATGATCTTTGTATTAAGTCTCTTATTGTGAATGCAGGCATGCTTTTTATGTTGAGAATTGAGACATAAACTTCTTGGGTTTTCCGAATGCTGTAATTGTTAGAGCATTCATGTTTCTATTAAATAACTTGAAATGTCAGTATATTTGTTGAGTGCTGTAAAGAAGGAAGCAGACATATTTACTATGGAATTAGGTTTCTGAAAGATTCTACTGTGTGACTGGCTTGTGTTGATAACATTTTCATTTGTATGTATTATTCATTTTTTCCTTTCATTTCCTTTGAAGGTGACATTCCTTGAAGATGGAGGAGAGACTAGAGGATCTGATTCGGCTGTTGTTGGAGGTGTGAATAACGTCAACCACATGGGAGGGCCTGCGGTGGGTGGAGGACGTCAGCTAGTCCCAGGACTCATCATGATGCCAGATGGCTCCGCTCTTCATGGTTTCCAGCAGGTTCAGCCACAAGGTGAGCCTTTCATATTATCTGTTCAACGGTAGTGTACATTAGTATTACATGCATGAAAATCAGTCCAGGTAGAAATTACAGACCACCATTACTGAACCAAGGTAACCTTTGAACCCTTGGATGTTAATTTCAGGGTTCCAGGGAATTTATTTCCTTGGGGTGAAATATAAGTTTGTGGCAAACTACTTAGTAGGCATAAAAATATATCCACCCTTTATGTTAAAATTATTAGTCACCTACTAGAACAAGTCTCAATGTTTTTCAATGATGTTATGACTATCAAAGGATATTACCTAAGTATAGTTTGTGTTTTATCTGTTTTTCCCTGTGTCCACTTGAAGTGAAAAGTTGGGAATAGGTAAATTTTATAAAATATCAATGATATAAAAGATACACATTACAGACAATAATTCCAATTTGCCAGCCAGATATTCTTAATTAAACATCTGTGCCCTAGAAGTTTAGCATTTTTTAATTTTATCTGTATGCATCTCTAGCTTTTTAATATTATCTCTTTGTCCCATTTTTATTATAAGGATTACATGATACTGGCAGTGTTTAAAGGAATTTAGATGAATTAATATATGCCTTCTTTTTTAGGTATGGGTATGGTCAGTGTTGGTCCCATGGTGAACATGCAAGCAACAGCAACAATAGCAAAGGAACTTTTGAAATCAGGAAACTCTCCAACAGCTGAAGCCATGGTAAAGCAGAACCCACCAACTGGTCCACAGGGACCTCCACAGGTTAGTATGTTCATGGTTTTCTTGAATTCTCTACCTGTCGGTGCAACTCTTGTCTCTTCGGATGGTATAAGATTAAAACATTAGCTAATATGCTTGGATGTATTATGAGTGAAAAGAACTAAGAATACTGTTTTGGCAGTGCACAGTCCATTGTGGTTTTATGTTATCTTTATTGATACATATGTGGCTTTGTGAGTGTTTAGTTTAAGGAGTTGATGCTTTGGCCTACCTGATCTTACCTGTTAACCCCATTCCTGATGTTTTCGAGGATGATGCTATTATTATTATTTGATAACTTTTAACAATAATGGAAATAATTGTAATAAAAATAAAGACTTTCATTTATGAAAATTCAAATAGTAGGGTGGTAGGTAAGGTCAAGGAGGCCTACGAATTAACTCCTTGGTGACTAAGTGCTTCTAGAGCCATCAGAATCTAAGCAAAGGAGTGAAACACCACAGTGGACAGGGCATGTTTAGTACACTCCTGCCACCAACAGCTTAACAATCTTATAATGCACTTTTGTTTCTTTGTATGTGATATTGGATTTTATGACTCAAAAGATTCAGTTATCGTTAGAAATGTGAACTATAAATACTTACTGCTTTGACAGGGACCCCCTCCCTCAAGTCAACAGCAGGCACCTATGCAGCCACCACAACAGCAGCAACAGCAACAGCCCATGGCAACATCTCAACAGCAGCAGCAACCACAGCCTCCTCCACAACAGCAGGTCCCTCAACCACAGGCACCACAACAGCAGCAGCAACAACAGCAGCAACAGCAGTCCATGGTTAATCAGGTATTAAGCACAAAAATCTTTGAACAGGATGTATGATTTTACCAAGAATGTTGTTGCATTTTTTCTCTGCATAAATATTAAGATTTTAAAAATTATTTACTACATCTGTTATTTTTGTTCTTTTATATGTAAAGAATCAATATGATTATATTATAATATAATTATAATATAATTATAATAGTCTTATCACACTTTTGACTTACCATGTACTTTGATATACATATTACTTACCAGATAAGAGGTTTATAAATATAAAGAAAACATCTGACTAATGTAATAACTTTTTATTTAGAATCAGACTGTGCCATCAACCCAAGCTGTACGGCCAAAGGATCAGCTGATGTATTTGGCACAGATTTTAGGCTTGCAAGTGCAGTTTACTGATTTTCCAAAGGTAATATATGAAAACCTCTATTCAGAAGTATTAGACAGAAGATGGTACCTTAGTGACTCTTGGAAATATATTTAACTCTGTTATATAGCTTGGATGAGTTTGATTATTATGGAAATTTTTTTACCTTGCTTATTGAGGTGGATTTATTGTTCACAGAGTATTTAATGTTCATGTTTGGAATTATTATCAGAATTCATTTTAGAAGTTGAGAACCGTATTGAAGACAAGATAGTGTTGAATGGGACCTACCCATCTCCTTTTAGTATTGAAGTCAGGGAATATGAGATCTCTATATGAAAACACTTAATGATTTCAGGGCAACAAGAGTGAATATCTGAGTCTGGTCTCACTTACCACCAGCCCCCCTCATGTATCTCATGGTGCAGGCCCTACTATTGATGATTCACATGATCAGGTGAGTCTTAAATTGGACATAGATTTATTATGCATGGTGACTCATATTGTATAGGATGGGTTTTTAGATTGATGATCAGGTGGGATGCAGTAAGTAGTAAAAAGATTAAGGAAGAATTTCAGATACGAATGGTCATCTCAGTAAATGATACAAGGAGGTAAGTGAATGAAATTCTATATGAATCACTTTGCAGTTTTTTAGAGAAGCCAAACTGGACTGCATTTTGACTTGTATTGTTTTATATTAATTTCATTGAATTCATGTTGTTTTAGATCTGTAAAAAAAAAATTGATATATCAGTTACTCTGTTTTATTGTAATCATAAGACTGTATCTAGAAACTTGGCCTCATCATGCCATATGGTACTCATGTGTCTTACGATGACCTTGAAATGTCTTGTGAAATTGCTGTTTAGACTGGTTCTTCTTACAGGCTTGCTTGACAGCTCTGCGAGCACTAGCGAAGATGGGCCTGGACACAGTCACAGCAGCCAAGCAAGAATAAAAATCCAACCAGTGCTCAGCAGGAGGATAATATCAACCCTACTTGTACTGCTGAAGATGCAGCTGATGTTGGCATTAATTGTCAATTGGGCTCATTTTTCCTCTGTACTTAGGTAGATGCACCAAATTGATTAATGTCCACATGTGAAGATTGTAATAACTATTCTTGAAACAAATGCCGCATAATTTGCTAGACATTGAGGAACAAGGGAGTCACAGTTTTCAAGAATTCTTAAGACCTCCTCATATGTGCACATGCGATGTCACATAACAGCTGTGTAAAAGCAGCGACAAATTTGCTATAAAGCTAGAAGTCCTGCAATGGGTACTAGGATTTCAGCCTTATTGTCATGTTGGTTGATGTAATCTTCCTCTGCACTTTCATGTAACCCTTATACATCACAGTGATATGACTATCGGAATATTGATGCACATTATTGATTATATATATACATATATATTTGCTTTTATATATATATATATATATATACACACATATATATACACGGCTTGATCTGTACTTCTGAGCCTTTTGTAAAGCCTTCTCTAGGGCTTCTTATCTATCTATATGTTGTTGCGAGATATTATATGCGAGCACTTTTAATCTCACAACTGCCGATCTCGCCGTATATTCTGTCTTCCTCCTCCGTATTTTATCTTTTTATAATCTTATCTATTTCATTAAGCATATCCTAAGAGATTAGAATTCTTTATACGGAAGAAAAAGAGAGATTACCATGTCCCAATATTAAGTGAAACTGTATGGCAAACAGTGATATTAGGGGATACTGAGCTTTAGCTTTTATCTGTGCTAAGGCTCAATTTCCCTACTTAACAAATTGATTACCTACAAGAAATGTATGATGCCTCCTGCAGACTTAGTGTGCGATGCTGGTTATCTGGTGCCACTGTTGGGGTGGAGTGTGGTAGGGAGGGAGGAGACTTATCCACCATCTCCTGCCCTCCCTCCTACACTCATGTAATCTTAGGATGGTTGTGTACAAGAGCTGCCTCCCATAGAGAGATATTGTATATTTAGTCACAGTGCAATGAGTACTGCATGTCATTGTGGTAACATTCATGTCATGTCGTAACATTTGAGACAAACTTAGTCATTCCTTAAGCTTATGACCTCTATTTGTATTTGCCTGTGACTTTGGTTATCTGCTTTTACTGTTTTGATTAGTACAAGTGGCATTAAAACAACAAACAACAAGAAAAGTAACACTGAATAAAGTAACCATAATATTTGCTTTAATTGAAGCTTTTTCCCAGTCCATGATGTTTATGCTGTCAGGAATCTTAATGGTTAAGTTTTCCTTGCTTGACTAAATTAAGAAAAAGTGATTCTTAGTTGTATAGATATATTATGTTAGGTTGATTAGAGCAGCACTTGATATGTTAGTTTTAAGTTCAGGCTTCAGCCTTCATAATTGGTGCACATCCATCCCCTTGTTCATCTTTGAGTGTATCAGTTTTGTTTTGATTAAGTCACCCTTTAAATAAGTATCACTTCTGCTTCTAGTCATAGCAAGGAATTTCCCAAGATTAAGTACAGTCATTAACATCAGACATAAACCAGAAAATTAGTGTGAACAGATCCTTATAGGGCAGGATTTTTTCTTTTGCTTTTTTTTTTCTTTCATTAAAGCTGACATACCAACCATAGAATATTTAAAACTTTTTCATCCCAGCCCTGAAATTCCCATAATATCTGAGCTCATAGAAGTTTAGATGCTTATCAGCTTTACAAATACTTGCAGTTGCTTTTGTCATTACTACTATGATATCATTTGTTGTGGAGCATAGTAAATTTTGTTTTTTTGGCTGAAATATTTCTATTTGTAGCTCTTCTATTTTGTCCTGTCAATAAGAACTGCAATAACTGTAAGAAGTAAACCTTTAATAGAAGTGTTTTGGCAGCAAGAACCTTTGATTAATGACTTTCCAGTACTGTTCTGCTAGCTATGTCCCTTTAAGGTAAGAGCGCTTCATAACTTGTTCTTCATGGCCTTTAGCTGCTTTAACTGAACGATGCGAACTATGTAACTGTAGAAGATGATCAGGGTTTGCCGAGATGATCAAGTCCTTTGATGGTACAAAATATGCTGTGGAGCCATGTAATGTCAGTGAAGATAGGCAGTGAATGAGCTCACAAAGTGGCCACAATGGTATAGATGTAATTGTTATGCCCCCATTAATAACAATACTGACCTGCTCTTATGGGGTTATTATATTTGTAAATGCCTCTCTGCATATGTGGTAGCTACACCATAGGCTGGATTTTAAAACAGGCACTTTTATCTAAGCAGAAACTTGCTGCTTCAGCAGATTGTCTTAAGAAACGAATTGCTCAAGTGTTTTCTTTACTGCAGTTAAAGTGATGTTTTAATAATCCATTACCTCATTTCTTGAGCAATACCACTCTAAGCTCTCTAACCCCCAACAGAACCAGATATAAGGATTTGGGGCAGGATAGTGTTATTCGCCAAACCCCTTTAGTATGTGTTTATCAACTGTAGGATGTGTTATATAACCCAAACCCAATAGTTGTCTCGAGCTTGAATTTGTAAATCCAAACAGGATATAAATTTTTGCTTGTGATGACAGAGGGGTTGACAACAGTGGCGGTTAACACTCTCATGCTGTGATGATGCCGTGAGTGCGACTGATTACAATTATGAACACATATGAAGACAACGGAAAATACTGCCTGAGTGGACTATGAGCTATGGCTCGAGTAACTTTCTGGTGGTGTGGTCAAGTGAATGGTAAAATGCTTACAGCTGTAGGTTAGATGGACTGAGATCTAACCCCACTCTCTGGCTGAATAAGTGGCAATAAGATGGGACAAAATTAAATGCGTGTTCGTCTTTAGCACTGGACTTCTGCATAAACCTTGATTATGCTAATTGGCTGAACAGTAAGGTTTAACCAGTTAGAAGCTTCAAGGCCTATGCAGAATTCAAGATCTAAGTAACAGGCACGCTTTAATAGTACATGTTTGTTTGTTTTATTCTATGTAATTCAGTTTAACCAGGTATTTTTGTGCCAATTTTTTCATGTTCGTGATATGATAGTATTATCCTTTTTGATGCCTTATTAGTCTTTGACTGAAACAAAAACATGTAGATCTTTTTGTACCCAAAGCCCATTAATGAAATCTCTTTTAATCACTATGGAATATCTGATACTTATTTTGTGATAATTTTTGTAAAGTAGATAACATATGTTCTCTTGTGATTTATCAAAGAGCGAAGGGATTTTTACTTAACCACACCATCAGGATTTCAGCTAACTTTAGCTGAGAAATGTGACATGACCTACTGTTCTGTGTATTGCCATGAGTTACATAAGGTTCTCTGTCCTCCAGTGTGTCAATGGAAATGGAACCTTATTAGAATGTGGTTTAAAGCTGGTAATGACAGGTCAGGTCACAGAACAATGAGGTTCCCAATATTTATGATGTAACTACAACGGCTATGGCAGCCCTTTGAAAGTCACAAAGGGCTGTCATGGTGGTTGTAGCCTCATTGCAAATGTGTGACCTTTTATAATGATGTTTCACTTTCTTATTTCCCTCATGTGGTTAATGGTTCAACTTTAGCTTTGTAATTTTTTCCTTCTAAGTAAAGATAAGTATATTTAGTGAATGTGCTTGATTAAAATATTGCTTTTTGGTGACCTGTATTGCAATGTCTTATTGAAAGAACATTTAAATTTTTTGCTTGCAATTTAGAGTTAAAGTGTTTAGATGCTTCAGTATTTTTTGACTTCGCTGTTGTCTTCATGTCTATTCATTTAGAATATTTGAGGATTCTCGGGGTGTGATGGTGGTGGCATGTTCCTGGTCTTGGGTACACAGTAACTGAGAATTGTCACTTTTTTACTGTAGTAGTATTATTGTTATTACTGTCATTATTATTATTATTATTATTAACTGTATACAAATATTCCTCACCCCTTTTCAAGGTACAATATCTATGATTCATGTTTTGTGCTCTCAATATTTTGTTTGAAAATATTTGAGAATTCTCTCTAGTTTTGTAAAAGGAATGCTGCTCCTACATTATTTTCATACATTAACAAGAAAAGTTTGTAAAATCATTTCTTGAGTGTTGATGCAGAGATACAGCAATGATCTATATTTGTTATGGTGGTAAATCCAGTG